GGAGAGGAAGTTCCCTCATCTGGAGCAGAGTTAGCAAAACACAATGCATCATTCAAGCCTCTGTCTTTGAGCATACTTTCCAGTACTCTTCCTGCAACCATCTGCCCAATCCCTTCCTCATTAAAATGGGGAGGACCACTTATTGCATGGTTGACCATATACTTTGGTATGTATATTTCCCTCAAATCCCATTAATTGACTGGCAAGTTTCTCATTTCTTCTCTTATAGAAAGCGATGTTTCTGTCAGCATCCCATCCTCATTGCTACAATTACCAAGAACTGTGAAAGCTATGTGATTTTCACTCGGCTTGTAAGTTAGCAAGGTAGCTTGCCAGTTTCATCAGTGCTGGTAGAAGATACAAGACTCCCAGGTCAGAGACAAAGGACAGTTTATTATTCACAGCAATGGCAACAGTCAAAGTACCAGCAATTTCACCCTAGATCCCAGAGTCCCTCTTCCCACAGGGTGATGTGAAATGGGCAGAAGACACCTACATACATAGTAGGTTGCATTATACCAGTTGCCTTCAAGTCAATTCTGACTCATGGTGATCCCGTGTATGTCAGAGTAGAACTGTGCTCCATAGTGTTTTCATTGGCTAATTTTTCAGAAGTAGATCACCAGGCCTTTCTTCCAACATGCCTCTGGGTGGACTCAAACCTCCAAATTTTAGGTTAGCAGGTGAGCACGTTAATCGCTTGCATCACTCAGGGACTCCCAGTAGGTTCTATTACAGGAGAGGAAACTTGAATTTAGGGAACCACGATCTTTTAGAACAGGCAGTAAGCATACCTTCCCTTTGCTCTGGAAGGAGACATTATCTTTATTATGTTAGAGTAAGCATTCCTGCCCTTTGCTCTAGAGGGAATCACTCTATCTTTCAAGGTTCTAACTAAACCTGCTCTTTACTCCAGAGGGAGACACTATCTCTATCTTCCAAAGCTATTTGCTATACAAGCATCCTTCAAAAGATAATCTGAAACAAAGAACAGTGAGTGCCTTGCTAGTAAGATGTGCAGAAACATGAGAGATCCATGCAGAATTGTCGTCCAACAATATACGAGTGAAATTGCTGGAAATATGCCATCTTCGTACCCTCTAGATAACACCAACTTTCTCTACTACTTAAATTCCCACCAACAGTGTATAGGATCTCCCACTTCTTTACCTGCTTACCAAATCGAGGCTCAATCCTCTGATGTCTCTCCTCTCTCGGGAGGCAAGGAATGTCCAGTAGGAGGAAGAACAGTGAGGGGGATGCTGCACTTGGATTCCAGTTCTTCTGGATAAAATACTTTCCAAATACATTTTACTGATCTGATGCATATAAAATGGTATGCCATTTTAATTTCCATTTTCCTGATTATTGGAGAGATTTCACAAATTCAACAACTATTTATTGACCACCTATAATATGCCAGGTATTCTTCTAAGTACTTGAGATACATCAGTAAACATAAAGGAAAGAAAATTATGCACTTATAGAGCTTACATTCTGGCCAGGGGAAACGATAAACATATTAACTAAGTAAATTATATCACATGTTAGAAGATGATATATGTTATGAAAAACATATAGTAAGGGACCAGATTAAGGTAACGCACATTTATTGAACATTTGCTTTCCTGTTTTTCTCAATTAGCTGTTCACATCTTTCACTCATTTTTCTATGGCCTGTTATTTTCTTAGTTACGTACTATTACTTATTCTTTCATTATGCCTATTTTAGTTTATAGCCTAATGTTACTTTTCCCAATTTGTTTATGCTAAGTTTTGTCATTAGCGAGTTGTGTAATTTATTCTAATCTAGTTTATCAAACTTTTCCTTCATGATCTATACACTTTGTGTCCCTACATTTTCCTGTAAATATTTAATATATTTTGCCGTCCGTGTTTAGGTATTAATTTTTTCCACTTGGAATTTATTTTGTAAGTACAGTGTCTGTGGTGTGATGAAGGGGCTGAATTTTCTTTTCTCCCATATGAAAAACCAAATAATCTAACACCATTTATTGAATGGTGAATTTCTTGAATCGAATGCATTTACTAATCCAGCAGTATTTATCATTTGTTCTTTCATCATTCATTTGAAATGTCACCTTTATTATGATTCAAGTTTCCTATGTGTAAATCTGTTTCTGTCTCTCCGCTGTTCCATGGGTATAGTGATCTCCGTGCTTCCACCCTTGCACCCCTACAGACTATTGTCTAGAGTTGCCAGAGTGATCTTGTTAAAATATAAGACAAATCATATCACTCCTTTGCTGAAAATACCCGAATGGCTCCCCATAGTACTCTGTGTAAAAGGTAGATTCCATTCTAGGACCTACAAGGCTCTAAGCTATTTGCCACTCCCTCATCCACATTACCTCTCTGAACGCATCTCTCTACCCTGTTCACACAATTCCAGCCATACTGGCAATCTCAGTGTTCCTTGACTGCCCGGCCCACTCCTGCCTTGGAGCCTTGGCACTAGCTGTTCCCTATATGTGGAAAGCTCACTCTACTGACAGCCACATTGCTAGATCCCTCATTGCCTTCATGTCTTTATTCAAAAGTCACGTGTTCTCAGTGAGGCCTTTCCTGGGCATCCTATCTAACAGCAGTCACTTCCCTAGTATTTCATTTCCACATGCTGTGATTTATTTTTTTCCTTCTCAGTTCCTGTCACTATAAAAATACTTTATTTTACCTATTTATTTTGTTTACAGTCTGTCAAACTAAATGAAGCTCCATGGGTGAGAATTTTTTTCTTTTGGCTTCTTTTGTTTCTTACCATATCATCAGTACCTGTACCTAGATGAGTGCCTGGCAGAGAGCCCACCCAAAAGAATTTGTAGGATGAAGCTAAAATTAGTAAATTAAAAAGTGAATGGACACCAAGTAAGTAAAAAGGGGGGCTAGGCAGTTTTCCCTGGGTTTAGCACAAGAGTTACAAACACAAATGCCTCCAGAGGACAACTGGCATTTTATTAGTGAACAATGCCAGCTGGGGGTGTGGCCAACTGGAGTCTAAAATGTCCTCAGCCTTTATTCAGATCCAGCTGCTTGTATCCTTGTTGGAATGTAGGCCCTAAGCCTTGATTTTTTTTTTTTTTTAGGACAAACCAGAAATATGGATTTTTGTAATGTGAAATCCCCAAATGTCTAAAGTAGCTAAGTTAAAACAGAAAACAACTAAAAAAAAAAAAAAAAAAACCCAGGTTAAAAAAAAACAAAAAAGACAGCTAGCTGAAATTGGCTTCTGGTGGTCAGCTGGTGTTTGTTGGACTAAATTGTGATGTATGAAAGAGAATTAATCCCTGCTCTGGTAAGGTGGGCTTTCCTTGAGTAATTCTTGAGACTATCAGGCTCAGATCATGTTGGGTGGAGAGAATGAACTGGAATTACTACCCTCTTTCAGTTCCTGGACACTCCCTGTCTCCCTCAACTATGCAGAGAGTTAAGGAAGTCTGGGCAGTGGGGACTTGCCAGCACTCTTTCTTAGGGGCAGGGGTACAGTTTAGTGACGACTGGGGAACCCAGGGAAGGGTCTTCAGGAGAATAACTGTGGAAGAATAAGGAGGAGGGGAAGAGAAGGATGCAGACCCATGCGTTGGGACACCTTTTTTGGAAGGACTTTATTGGGGTTGCTGCCCCCTCTCCCCACCAACCACCACCCTCAGTGTGGTACCATACATCCCAGAAGGAGTTACCATCAAAACTCCCAGCTCAACTGTCCCAAGGCATCTACCTCATCTAGCAAAAACAAGCTGCCCAAACTTCCATCACGGCTCCCCATATTCTTGGGTTGAGTAAGACTGGCCAGGAAGTGCCTTCCAGGGGGCCATCAGCCACTGGCTTTGTGCAAGGGTCTAGCCAACACGGTGCTTCTGGGAGCAGGAGTTTCCCACTGGTGGAGCACTGGGTGGAGCCACCTGTGGTTTCAGGCAGCTGCTGAGAGAAAGATGGACTTTCAGAGTACTCCCCATGACTGGGAGGGAGAGACATCAGGCTCAATCCTCTGATGTCTCTCCTCTCTCGGGAGGCAAGGAATGTCCAGTAGGAGGAAGAACATTGAGGGGGATGCTGCACTTGGATTCCAGTTTTTCTGGATAAAATACTTTCCAAATACAAGGTGGCACATCTCCCACAGTTCCACTCCCCACAAGTATTGCTTATCCAGTGAAGGGGAAATTACCGCAGACCTTCAGGTCCAATGTTGCCTGCACCAGGGTCATCTGGGAAATGTAAGGAGGCAGCCCATAGCCCAGCAGTTATGGGGCACCACGGTAGTGTGTTTAGGCTGAGGGCTGGGGTTCTGCTCAGCTGGAGGCAAGATGCAGGAAGAAGCTGTGTCATGGACTCCCTGCATTAAGAAAAGCCTTTAGGTATGAACTTTGTTCCTGCTTAACTTGTCTGAACCATCCTTTTCAAAATGCCTTTCTAGGGAAACTTCAATCCAGCTGGCTTCTTTGACAACTGTCCCTTTCTTTGTGCAGAGCCAGGAAGGGCATTGTGGATACTGCCAGAATTCCAACTTTTTCCTGGGACTTCTCATACTTTATACCCCATTCCCCACACCCTTAAACCCTTTTTCCTGAGTTCTCACTCCTTCTGTGAGTCTTTCTTCTTAGCATTTCTTCTCCCTCAGTGTCCCTCCCATTCTGGCCTCCCATCCACGCAATGACCCTCCCTTTGTGCATCCTTTAGACTCTCTCATTCTAGGACTCTACCTGCCAACTTGGTCTCTCTCCCACTTGCTCTGGAAACTTCCACACTTTTTTGTGACCCTCTCTACTCAATCTATTGTCTGTTTTCCTCATAGTCCCGAGATCTCACTCTTTCCCTGTCATTCTCCACCCCCTTCCCAATTGGATGTCTCCCCCTCACTAGGTCTTCTCTTTCTCCAGGGAGCCTCTCCATTTCTGGCCTCTCTCCATGTCCTCCTAAGCAATCATCTCTTCCTCTCTCTCCCTCACAGCCCATCTCTAGTTCCTTCCCCTCCCCCTCTCTAGACCAGGCTAGATAAGTCCTATTCCATTTTTAGATGACTGATTATGAAACTAGCTTAACTTTATTCACAGCCTGAATGTACTGCTGTTTCTTCCTTTCATGCCCCTCCACCAAACACACCCAACCTTTTCAAGAAGACAAATTCCTTACACAAGGCATGTCATGTCCACATAAATCTGTATTTTTAAGAACAAAACAACAGTTATGCTGGCAAAGACGTAGAGTTAACAGGGACCCTCCAACTTTCACTACACTAAAAAGCAACATTTTTTTGCATGTCTACAAATTATACATGTTTCCACAAATGTGGCAAATTTTACCATAACAGTTAAGATTTTTTCACCAAATCATAGACATAGATATGGAAGTCATCATCAAACTTGATGAAATACACAGAAGGTTTGGCTTTAACTTGATGAATGACCTTGCCTGTCCTTTTGGAGCCGTCTTCTTTGGTATATTCCACATGTTTACCTATCAGGCCATCTACAACTCCTTCTGGCTCCCTTTCTGCTGGAGGAGACTCACTGGACTCTGGCATGATTCGGAGGTCACCTTCTTTATAATCATCTAAAAGCTGGTACATGTACAAGACAGGATCTTTCTCATATGTAATATAAAACCAGGCTTTCATGATAGGTGCTTGGGCTAAGACCATCCCCCTCCATTCATCCTTAGAACCATGCTCACCCTCAAACATATGTTCCACTGCTTTGCCAATTATGGTGTTTGCAAGGCGCACATCTCTGACTCGAGAAAATGGCACCTTATCAGGAAGGATTTTAAGTTTTAAAATCCTTTCATCTCTGTGAAGTTCCAGTCCATAGACACAGTCAATTCCATCATATTTCACCAGATAAAGAGAGGGATTTATAGGCACCTGATCCAGAACGGTTCCTTTCCACTGGGTGATGGGCTCATTGCCTTCCTTCCATCCGTGTGAAATTCTGCAGCCCACGATATTCCTGCGGGGTTGGGAGGAAGGTCTGCCCCTCTGCTTCTTCTGGAAGGTCTTTTTCTTCCTCATATTTGCAGATCCTGGGTGGTGACCTACAGTTGCCCTGGCGTGCTGCCCTGCAGCTGCCTTTTTGTGGAGGGTCTTCATACCTGCAGGGGAGGAGAAAGGCTAGGGAGAAATGTTCAATGTGTGTTTCAAGGTATGTTTTGTATTTGTAAAAGGAAGTCCTTGTGTACCAAGTACACTTCCACCCATGTTATTCCTAAGTGTCTAGCAGCAATACTGGATATCAAGGCACTCCTGGATGCCTGCCTGTAGTGCCCTCCCTCGAGGCTCGTTCTTGCTGCAAGGGAGGGCTTGAAATAAGGTGGCTGTGGTGGTCATGGTGGTTAAGGCCCCCGCAAGACGGAGCTGACTCCTTTCCATGCCGACTGCCTTTCTGTCGTCATCCTAGTGCCCTCAGCAACACATTCACAATTTCTTATTCACCACCTCATCTCTCCATTTCCGGGCTTGTACCTCCGTGACATCTGCCCATCGCCCTCAGCTCTTCATCCTTCTTGCCTGCCTATCCGTGTGACTCCCACTGGAGCTCACCTCTCTCTCATGATCCCTTCGCGACCATCCTCATTCTCCTGCTGGGCGCCCACCATAAAGCTACTTCCCTTTCTGGCCACCCTTGTACACCACTCTCGTGCTCTCCGTCAACCCCGCCCTCCGACTCCCAAATCAACCTTCTCAAACTTCCTCATCTCCCATCCTGGCTCCCACCACATCTTCCAGCCTGGCACCCACCAACCCCCATCCATCGGTTCCCTAGTCCAACGCCCACCTCCCCACCGACCCCTAATCGCGGGCCTCACGTGCCCAAATCGGACAACTCGCTGCTGTCTCAGCTGTGATCCTGTGGCGACAAGTCGGATGCTTGCAAGACTTGCTTGGGAGAGGAGGATCCGCAGGCTAGGATCACGTCTAGTAGGGAAGCACTCGACTCGCACGTCCTCCGCTAGGCTGCCCGCGGCGGCGGCCCCTCTGCCACATCGGGCTCCCACCCGCCGCTGCCCGGCCGCAGTCTCCTCCCTCTTTCCGTAGCGCAGCTTCCTGCCAGGAGAGAGGCCTCCCCTTCCTGCCAAACACTGAGCGCCCCCAAAGCCCCCACCCCCACCAGAGCTCTGGGCCGGGAAGCTCTCCTGGGCTCCCGGTCCCGCCCCTTCCCCAAACAGTGAGGGCGAGGTGCAGCACCACCCTTCCCCCACCGCCTACCACCCCTCCCCCAGTTTAGGGCCCCACCTCCACTCTCTCAGCGCCTCTGCCCCATCTGCTTTCCATCTTCGAGGAATTTACCCTTTCTTTTTTTCCCGTGCCCTTATAGAGTTATTCTTTATATACATAAATCTGCCTTTCCTGTCATTTAAGGGGATTTGGGGTAGGGCGAAGAGAAATGCGCCAGTGCTTATTCTGCCATCTTGACCCAATCTTTATGTAATTTTTTCTGACTGTTTATTCTCGGACTTTAGTACTTGAGGATTTTTTTCTTTTTTGTCCACGATGTGGACTCCGTAAAATTCAGAAAATTGACATGAAGAAGAAAATAACTGTAATCCCACCTCCCATTTCCCAGGGCTCACAGCAAGGGTTGGGAAGGGAAGATAATTTCCTTCTTTTTTCTCAGCTCTTACAAAGCTGGGATCATTTTGCACATACAGTTGTTAAAAATTCTTTGTAATATTTTTAGTTGAGACATTGAGGAATATAGAGTTTATATAACAATATTAGAAGCATGATATACTTTACATTAATAATTAACACTTCATTTTTATTCGTGCTTTCAAACGTAGAAATTAAATATTACCAATATAATGTAATTCTGTTTTAGCCTCTAGCCTCGAACCTATTCCCGTCCCCCTCTCTAAAGCTAATACTTATCATTTTTTGGTGTGTATTCTAACAATCTATATTTTTATGTGTATTTATATTTACAATTGCTTGACAGGCATTTTTATGTCACATGTTTATTTTTTTAATTTACGTTATGAAGGAAAATTACTCCATACTGGAGAAAAAAATAATAATTCTCTAAAATGTCCCACACCTGACATTTATGGGAGATGGCTCTGGGTCATTTTGCCCTAGGTGTATACTGTACAAATGATAAACTGATAAGAATATGACAGCCCTACAGCTTTGTAAGACTAAACAAAGAAACAAAAAAACAAAACAAAACCCCTTGCCATTGTGTTGATTCAGACTCACAGCAACCCTATTAGAAAGAGTAGAACTGCCTCACAGAGTTTCCAAGGAGCGGTTGATGGATGCAAACTGGTGACTTTTGGGTTAGCATTCAAACGCTTAACCACTGTGCCACCAGGGCTCCTAACAACTGTAAAAATGGCATGGCAGAGGCATCTGACCTCCTCTAACTTCACAAGGGGGAAGGAGAATCAAGATCAACAGCCCTTTTTACCAATTCTGACACCATCTGTCCCTCCCACTGCTGAGTTTGGTAATTCTTTGTAACCGCCACAGAACTCACAGACAATACTCAGGATTATGGTATTTATTAGGGAAGTAACAGTTTACATTTCTGGTTCAGGAATGCTCAGGATACAGTCCTTTGATTAGGACAACCTCTTCTTAGCAGTGCCCGCAGGCAGGTCTCTCTCTGGCCCTTGCCCCTTGGCCTGGCCTCTGCCCTACTCTGGCAAGTTTTACAAAGCTCTTTTACCTCTGTCGATAAGTGCCCCAAGGCACCTCACTCAGTAAGTCTCGGCCCAAAGGCAATCTGCTGTAGCTCCACCAAGTGCCTGGAGGCACCCTATTCTGCCAGCAAGCCTCCTGGCCAAAGGCACTCGGCTTTCTAGCTCCATGGGCAGGGAAGCCCACCGTGCCATCTCCTGCCAGTCTCCTGCCTCTCCTGGCACCGTTTCTCTGCTGCTGCTTTCTCTGTCTTTGTGTTACAGCTCTCTCTGTCTCCTGGTTCCAGGAGCTTCTCAGCCCATGTATCCTAGGTCCAAGGGACAAGCTCCAATCTTCACTCTTCTTTCTTGGTGATGGTGAGATCTTCTCTTCCCGCCTCTGGGATGGCTCATTTTAAGCCCAGTGGGATGGTAAAACTGCCCAATCCCCTTTGTGGGCCACAATTACCATAATTGCATAACCTTACTCAATCACTTGTGTGGCAGTTACAAGACCATGGCGAGAAAGGTCATATAAAAACCATCCATCACACTGCACTAACCAATCTTGTACTTAGTTAAACAATCTTATCTAGCATTAATTTTTCTAACAGTATAAATTCACAAGGATATTCAAGAAAATGTTTTCATATTTTCTTAATGGTTACATTGTCAACAAGATTGTGATAGAACTCTGAGATGTCTCATAATCTAACTTGACAGCTTTACTTTTATTTTTTATCAGCTTGCTTTCTTTTACTCAATATTCTTTTTTTTTTAATTTCTCTATATCATATCTCCAACATTCCTTGTTAACCTTGAAACTCTATTTCAGAGTATAGCTATACAACATTTTTGCCATTCATTCTGCTGTTGATCATTTTGGTTCCTTCCAATATTTCATTATTACAAATAATGCTTCAGTGAACATCTTTGAGTACTTGTACCAGAGTTTCTGTAAGTATATACTGGATGTAGAAAGTGTAGAGTTATAAGTATAAAAAATCCCAAAACCAGACCCACTGCCATCGAGTTGATGCACTTTAAATTTCCTAAATGCTGTTAAATCGCTCTGCTAATTGCTGTAACAAATTATAGTTTAGTCAGCATTTTATACGTTCCCTCTTCCCCACATCCAAGCTGTTATGGATTGAATTGTGTCCCCCCAAAATGTGTGTCAACGTGGCTAGGCCATGATTCCCAGTATTGTGTGATTGTCCACCATTTTGTCATCTGATGTGATTTTCTTATGTGTTATAAATCTTACCTCCATGATGTTAATGAGGCAAGGTTAGTAGCAGTTATATTAATTTGGCAAGACTCAACCTACAAGATTAGGTTGTGTTTTAAATCAATCTCTTTTGAAATATAAAAGAGATAAGCGAGTAGAGAGACATGGGGACCTCATACTGCCAAGAAAGTAGTGCCAGGAGCAGAGCCCGTCCTTTGGAACTGGGTTCCCTGTGCTGAGAGGCTTCTAGACCAACGGAAGATGGATGACAAAGACCTTCTCTCCAGAGAAAGCCTTCTCCTGGAGCTGGCACCCTGAATTCAGACTTCTAGCCTACTGACTGTGAGAGGATAAATTTCTGTTTGTTAAAGCCATCCACTTGTGGTATTTCTGTTATAGCAGCACTACATAACTAAAACACTAGCCAACACTTCATATTTTCACACTTTCAGTGTGCTAAACTCTTGTTCTTGTTGTTAGGTGCCATTGAGTTGGTTCCAACTCATAGGGACCTTATGTACAACAGAACGAAACACTGCCCGGTTCTGTGCCATCCTCACAATCATTGTTAAGCTTGAGCCTATTGCTACAGCCACTGCGTCAATTCATCTCATTGAGGGTCTTCCTCTCTTCACTGACCCTCTACCAAGCACGATGTCCTTCTCCAGGGACTGGTCCTGCCTGAAACTTTGTGCCAAACTAGTGAATAAGGAATGACACCTCATTGTTTTTTTAATTTACATTTTATTGATTATTAATGCGACTGGATATAGTCTCCTGAGTTTTTCACCATTCAGTATTTCTATACTGAGAATTTCTTTTCACAATTTTCATTCGAGTTCTTTATCTATTTCTCATTCATTTATACATTCATATATTCTTTTCTGTCTCTTTTTTAAATTGTGGTGAAAACATACTCACTGAAACATCCCCCAATACAACGTCCACATTTACAACTCAGTGACATTGATTGCATGTTTATTTCTTTTTTAAATATTTTATTGTGTTTTAAGTGAAGTTTACACAGCAAATTAGGTTCCCATTTAACAATTTTTATACAGATTGTTCCATGTGTAGTAATGACTTGTACTCTGCTTAAGCAAAAATAAAGAGATTTATTGAAAGAAAGACCACTCAAAGGGGGTGGGAGACACATTAGATCTCACCAAGTGATATCAGCACTTCTGGGGAGGAGCAATCCTGCGGGGATAGTTATAGGGCTAAACTAGGAGTTTAGGTTACAATATTCTGACTGGTTACTAAGCAATTAGGGAAGTGGGAGGTGGGACATCAAGAAACAAGGATTTTGCTAGGATTGATTTACAGAGCATATGTGGGTCAAGGGGATTGGATACAGTGCATACGTGCAGAGGTTTCTGCCAACAGGGATACAATATTGGTTGTAGACCAGATCAGCTTTAGCATGAACTACTTTGAAATGTAAAGGTTGGCCATCTGGTTAGAGTGGATTGAAGATCAGATGAGTTTCAGCTAAGTGGGAGCAAGTTAGAGCATAGGTGATTACAGATAGATTTTCCATGATTGGATTGTTAAGATAACTGGTTTAAGGCAACATCATTTCATGAATACATCTTACACAAAGGATTTGATAACTATTTGAGCAATGACTCCCCCTCTGGGGGAATTCTACTGACATTCCTTTTGGCTTAATCACAGAAAAAGTGTCCTTAGCTGCATGATTAAGTTTATACCAAGATTAACTGTTGATAAATAAAAAAGTAGAACGAGCAAAATGAAGTAGGGCCCAAACCTCAAGCCAGCTGTTTCAGAATTATCAGGCACCCTGTTTTTAAATTCCCCTACACATTCCTTCCTTTTGATCAAGGATATTGACCACTATTCTGAAAGAAGGTTTTCTTCTGCATTGACTTCAAGCATGAAATGGTTTTGGAGGGTTACTTATCTATCAAGTCTTTAAGATCCCAGATGCTATGAATATAAGGAGGCAACCAGGTACCATCTGATATCTTCACTACGCCATAGCTTTAGCCTCTTGCTTTTGTGGTTTCCTTACATGAGGGTTGGTGTAGAGCAAGGCCACATCAGAGGAATAACCTGGCTTCTGAAGAAGGCCTGCTCCAGAAGTGAGCTTGAGTCTGTCTGAA